TTTTCTTAAATAACTGACAATAAGATCCAAAAGAAGGCGATGTCTGTGAGTCAGTCGGGAGACACTGATGTCCTCATGGACGTGTGAGACATGGACAGTTTGACAATAACATCCCTCTTTCCAAGGGTTTGTTTTCAACTCTTGATTTTACAACTGGTGACTGTTGTCTGACTGCTGTCTGACTGTTGTCTGGCTGGTGTCTGGCTGCTGTCTGACTGCTGTCTGGCTGTTGGCTGGCTGTTGTCTGACTGTTGTCCGGCTGTTGTCCGACTGTTGTCTGCCTCCTGTCTGACTGTTGTCTGACTCTTGTCCGACTGTTGTCTGCCTCCTGTCTGACTGTTGTCTGGCTGGTGTCTGACTGTTGTCTGACTCCTGTCCGACTGTTGTCTGACTCCTGTCTGACTGTTGTCTGACTGTTGTCTGACTGTTGTCTGGCTGCTGTCTGGCTGCTGTCTGACTGTTGTCTGACTGTTGTCTGACTCCTCATCTCACGACGGTGTGGACAGCAGACTCTCCTGAGGTTCCATGAAGACTGGCCTGAAGTCTGTGTTTGTTCAACAAAGACTAAAACTCTGGAGCAGTTTGACTTCTGGCTACAGCAGGAAGAACTCACCACTTCCTGGGACAGGAAAGCCTCTTCCTGACGTAAAATGAGCAGTCCAACAGCCCCACCCATGGGCGTGGCCCGCAGCAGGGACACCACCTCCTCCTGTGTCCTACCATGCAGATCCACACCGTTCACCTGAGGAGGACCAGAAGAAAACACAGAACTTTAATCCACAACAACAGTGTTGACGGTGAGGTGTTCACTAGCTGCTGAACAAACTCAGCTGTTCCTGGGTAACGTTGAGCTAACGTTGAGCTAACGTTGAGCTAACGTTGAGCTAACGTTGAGCTAACCCGTCGTTGTCTTCTCTTGTTAACAGTCAGACTAAACGCTGCAGAAAAGTGAATCTTTCTCTCACCTCCAACAACCTGTCTCCTGCTTTAAGGCGGCCATCTTGGATCGCAGCTCCCCGGGGCAGAATGTTCTTGACATAGATGGGAGCTGAGCCTCCAATGGGAACGTCCCGCGATGTGATGCTGAACCCGAGTCCCTCCGGACCTGGGGGCGAGGAGTTGAGGCGTGAATTTTAAATGAAGCCAAAGATCAAAGCAGTTTGATTTCATTTCCAGCAAACACGTTAACTGGAAAACTTTCCAGTTGCTTCTACGCCCCCTAGAGTCAGAGTTAGTTCAACGTTTGTTCTGTTGCCGAACTGAGTGAAGAGACAAACAAACAAATCTTCCTCAGAGGTTTAAACTCGGTGGTTCACCTCCACATCCTTCACCTAATCCCCGTCATTGATGAGCCAATCAGCTTCCCACAGCCTGACAGGATGCAGTATTATCCTCAGCGTTAAACGCCTGCAGCGTGGCTGGCTCTGAGCAGTGAGGAGGAGGAGAAGCGAGGTCGTTAAAAGTCCCATTAGCTTGATTAGGACATACTGAAGCTATTTCCTGTGCAGAACGAGATCCTTTGATTGATCCTGATACTCCAGGAGGATTCACAAGTCGACCGGCGTTTGATTGGAACAACATCAACACTGCAGGTGTTTAATCTGCACTCAAAGCCGCAGGCTTACGTCGGGACTAGAAACAACAACACGGCAGCCAAACAGCCTCGTGGGAATCGGAATTAATCCCCACCGGTGTCTGCTCCGACAACAGCAAACCAAAGGTGGAAGGAGGGGAAAGACGAGCTCTCAGATGGAGAAGGTCACAGGTCGCCTGGAGAACCAGGCACAGCAGGGTCAGCGGAGAGAACAGGGGGAAAAACGTCAGAGTGAGCGAGGAACCAGAGGGAGAAACGTGACACGGGCGGAGCTCACATCAAGCAGATGGGTGGTGGGTTTTTGTTTTTTTTTTATTTCTGTGTTCTGGCTCCACTCCAGCCACGAGAGAGGAGAGGAGAGGGTGGTGCAGACTTCAGCAGACATATGGTGCAGCTCCGTCAGGCCGTCTTTGACAGAGCGCAGGGAGCAGAAAGTTCTTCAGTAACAAGCTCTCCGGCCCTCAGACATGGAACCGGCACCTGTTCTGCTGCTGGCACCGCTCCGGCACCACCTGCGCCGGCCGTCACTCACAGACTCTGAGAGGTTGTAAGGCTGGTAATAAAAGGCAGTTTTTCATGAAACTGTTCCCACATGACTCTGAGAAAACCCAGGAACTCCTGTGGTGTCACAGAGAGCTGGAGGAACGTGAAGCAGGAAACGAGGATTTCTGACAGAGAAGAGCAGGAAATTAAACCGATGCCCTGGCGTTCTCGGAGATGCTGCGTCAGTCTGGACACACGCCTCGCAATAACAAGTTCTGACCACAAGGGGCCGGGCCTGACGGAATGGGTTTCACATCCTGGGAGGTGTCCTGGTTACAAAGACCGGGGATGAAAGGAGCATCCGTCAAAGGCTCGGTGTAACTGGTCCACGGGTGGACACTGCTGCTGAATGTGCATGAGCCTTGGACAGAAACAGACAGAGAGGGAGGGAGAGAAGGGAGAGAGAAAGTGGGGGAGTGACCGACCGTTGTTCAGCTCACCTTTCCTCAGCTGGATGTTCAGTCTCCTCCCCACCTTCTTGGCGTAGCCTCCCGTTGGCGTGGAGCTCATGGCCCTCTGGGGTGAGTTGATGTGCCCGGTCGGAGGCTTGGCGGCAGAGACCGTCGGGTGGTTCAGCGGCGTGTAGCCGTTGTTCTGCTCGGGGTGAGCGTGCGAATGCGGGTGGGGATGGGGGCCGTGTCGGGACATTCTCTGTGGGGTGTGGTCGATGTGGGAGTCCGGGCTGAAGCGGCCCGAGGCGTAGGCTGGGTTCCTCTCCACGTGGGACAGCTGCTCGTACTGGACCTTCATGGACGAGGGCACCACGTGAAACATGATGATCGGAGAACGCATGGCCTGGCGGAACATGTTCTGAGCTCTGTCAGGAGACAGACAAGGGAGTGGACGTGAGTGAAGACACAACAACACAACAGAACAGAGTGTTAGAGGAGGGGTCTGCTCAGGGTCAGCTGATGAAGGTGGAGAGAGAACCACAAGGCCTGGTTAGCATCACACATCAGCAGCAGGGGGCAGCATTCAGGGGAAAAAAAAGGACTTAAGAAGGCAGTTAAGCAGAGGAATTAAGGAGGTCAGAAGGTCACACACAGGATGTCCAGAGGGGCTCAGCAGCCCCTCCTGCTGGGCCGTGGCCTCTTACTGTTCAAAGCGGATGTTGCGCAGGTCTCCGTTGTTGATTCGGACGATGCAGTCGTTCTCCTGAAAGAGGCCGTGCTGCTCAGCCTTTCCTCCCCGCTCCAGACGCTTGACCAACAAGCCAAGAGTCCTGAAAGGTCAAAGGGTCAAAGGTCTTTGTCAACCACACGATAGTGAAGACTAAAACTCTGGTGCGCAGCCTGGACTGGACCGAGGTGGAGACGACAGGATCTGTCGACCCGATTGGTGCCGGTTTAGATCCCAGAACTGACTATGTGGAGTGGGGCTATATATACATATAGTTATATGTATATGTTTATATGTCTATATAAATATATATAAACATATATATGTTTATATATATAGTTGTATATATATGTTTTTTATTTATAGTTATATGTATATATAACTATATATAAACATATATAAATATATATATAAACATATATATAAACATTTATATATGCTTATATATTTATAT